AAGATGCAGCAGGCTTGTTTTCTGCTGGTCCAGAGACTAGGACATTGTGGATTTAAGCTACAGGAAAAGAGATTCCACCTAAACATTAGGAAGAACTTCCTGACAGTAAGAGCTGACCAACAGTGGAAGACACTGCTGTCTTAGATAGTGATGGAGTCTCCTGCTTTGGAGGTTTTTAAAACAGAGGCTGGGTGGCCTTCTACCAGGAGTTCTTTGATTGTGTATTCCTGCATGGCAAGGGTTGGACTGGATGGCCCTTCAGGTTTCTTCCAGCTTTATGATTCTGTGAATAAGGAGACAGAAACCTAAAGGCTATGTCAGTCCAGTGAGAGAGGAAAGCATAGAAAGATGGAATGAAAGAGAAAAGTGGAGAGAGAGTGTCAGAAAGAGGAAGAAGAAAGTGCATGTGAGATATGTGAGTGTGGCCAAGGCAAGACACCCAATTTTGGCTTTAGCTACATCTTTGTCTGACAGCCAGCCCTCAGAGGGTAATGCAGAGATTAATGTAGTTGTAGAGCTGCAAAGCATTTGCCATCCTGTCCTATAGTATCCTGAGCTGGTCTCTAAAGAGCGCAGACTTTGTTGCTTTGCTAATACTACTTAGTAAATCATAGAATCATAGAATCCTAGAGTTGGAAGAGACCACAAGGGCCATCCAGTCCAACCCCCTGACATGCAGGAACTCCCAATCAAAGCATCCCTGACAGATGGCCATAATGACAGAAGCCGAAGTAAAGCTTAAACTAAAGGAAAGGGATACCAAGGGGGAAGCACACACTACAGCAGTATAAGGTCCTGAACAAATACTGCAAACTTTACAGTGTTTGAATTCGTGTTCATATTTAATCAGTTATGGCCTGATTTTTTATTTTACAGAAAATATCTGACAGCCAAGTAGACAGGCCACTTGACTTCCTGTCTGATGGGTGCATCTAGGTCTGTATGTTGAATTACTACTTCATTTTTTTCTAGAAAGATGGGCTATTTAATTTGGAAAATTGAAGATTACACCTGATTCTGATAATTCTGCTCTTTTGTACTGAAGTCCATAAAACAAATTGCATTAGACACTCAGCAGACTCTGAGTGTCTAATGCAATTTGATTCTTGCAAATAAATTTAATTTCACACACACACACTGGAGATAGTTTTTTGTGCCTCCTGGGTTTCTCAGTCATGATGTAAGTAATCCATACAGTGTGGATTCATTCTCCCGACCAACTCAGAATGGACCTTCATGGTAAGTATCCAATGCCCCATTCTCTGGTTGGTGTGAGAAGCGACACACAGAGTATGGGTTACATCCATCACTTCTCAGACACTTAGCATGTCTGGATAGATACAGGTATGACCATTTGTTTGGCTATGACATAAGTTACATGTGCATTATTGTTACTGCCTTTATTTATTTGTTTGGCAGACTCGGTGGACTGGCAACAGAACACCACCAGTTAATTGTGTACTAGTACTTCTGTATATATTCTTTAGCAATTGTGTTCTGTATATATTCTTTAGCAAACATTAGAAAGGCATTCTGTACTTCAGAGTTTGCGAGCCACTGTGGTGTAGTGGTTTGAGAGATGGATTATAAAAGGGGAGACTGGGGTTCGAATCCCTGCTCAGCCATGGAAACCCATTAAATGACCTTGGGCAAGGCACACACTTTCTATCTCAGAGGAAGGCAAAGACAAGCCCCCTCTGAACAAATCTTGCCATGAAAAACCCATAATAGTGGATTGAGTGTTAGATTATGACTCTGGAGATCAGGGTTCGATTCCCAGCTCAGCCATGAAACCTACTGGGTGATCTTTGGCAAGTCACATGCTCTCAGCCTCAGGTGAAGGCAATCATGAATCTCTGAACAAATCTTACCAAGAAAACTCCATGATAGGTTCATCTTGGGGTCACCATAAGTTGGAAATGACTTGAAGGAACATAACTTCAGACTTGATGTGTGGCATTTCTGCCCAATACAGGTGGTCCACAACAGCTGTATTTATTCCTTCTCTTGGGGAAAGAAATTGTACATGGACTAATACAGTTCTGTGGGTTTATTTTCAAGACTGTTACCTGTAGATACAGAGACACACACTCTCATATACACCTTATTTTCAGGCTAGTATTTCTAGTCTCCTGATGCTTATGATAAATGTAATGCCCTTCAGCTCTTGGCTCACAGTGCTTTGGCTTGAAGTTACTGCTGCAAACACAATGAAGTGTGTGATCATTTCACCCACACAAAAGTGACAGCAGGGTGCACATTTCATTTGCTACCAAGAAACCTTGTTTTATGATTGTCCTTGCGCCACCTCTGTTCTGCACCTTTGAACACTCATCCTTACTTTAAATGCATCACAGTCATATTCGTCCCACACTGTACAAGTGTTCTTCTGATTTCTATTTTCTTTCTGAGCAATTTGAAACCACACTATGTGTCTTCACTGTGACTCTTTTGCCATATTTGCGATGAATCATTATATATTAGAGGTTGCAAGGATTTCCAGCAAGCATTACACACAACCTGTTCAGCTCTAACAGATTCACAAAGCTTCTTAAGTCATGCCTGCTAAGTTTTTCTCCAGTCTCTACTTTGTCACCTCCATGGAAGGCAATAGTACAAATTCTGTTGCCAAACTTACAGTCTGCTCTTATGAAAGCTTGCAAAGTACTTCTGCTATCCCAGGACTTGTTCAACTGTGAGTCAATCAGTTTAAACTGATGAAGTTGGCGCAAAACATCTGGAGCCTCAAAGTCACTGGACTCTCAGTCTTTGGGGCTCCAGATGTTTTGAGCCAACTCCCAGAAAACTTTGAAAAAGTTATGCTGAGTGAGGCTTATAGGAGCTGTAGTCCAAATATCTACAGGATGAAAGGTTGAAATCCAGTTGTTTAACTGGAGCCATCCCTTTTGTATTTCCAGTGGACAACACAAACCACAGTGTTTTGTGTGGCCTTTGATCCATAAAATCAAGGATAGCTTTTGGATTGTTTAAATGTGTGTGTGTGTTTAAAAAAAACAACTATTCTTTTGATTTGTTTTTGAAATCTTCTTTTATCTGTTGTGCATTGCCCTCATAGCCCTGATGAGCTGAGATATTATAAGTAAATATTTTGTTTGATTCTGATCCTGTCCTCTGGAGTATTAGATACCCCATCTAATTTGGTGTCATCTGCAAATTTGATAAGCATATCCTCTATTCCATCATCCAAGTCATTAATAAAGATGTTGAATAGCAGTGGGCCCAAGGCAGAACCCTATGGCACCCCACTGGCTACTTCTCTTCATGATGAGGAAGAAAGTTTGTTGAGTACCCTTTGGGATCAATGGATCAACCAATTACAAATCCACCTAACATCCACAATGTCTAGTCCACATTTTACTAGCTTGTTTGCAAGTTCACCACCAATGTTCAGGGCTCCCAACTCAGCTTTTACAACCACGGAAACTTCCAGCTCCACTGAGAGAAGGTAGCTTGCCATCAGCACCCCACTTGGTTCCTCATAGGTGCCGAGACTCTGTCAAAGAAATAATTTTAGAAATGTGAACAACAGCTGCATCTGCACTGCAGAAATAATGCAGTTTGACACTGCTTTAACTGCCATGGCTCAATGGCATGGAATTCTTGGACTTGTAGTTTTGCATGATATTTAGCCGCCTTTTGCAGAGAGCTCTGGTACCCCAACAAACTACAAAGCCCAGGATTCCATAGCATTAAGCCATGGCAGTTAAAGCAGTATCAAAATGCATTGTTTCTGCAGTGAAGATGCAGCTTAAGCCAAACATGTTTAATTTCAGATGTTTACCGGACAGGAAAAGCAGATCAATAAAGAAAGGGGACATTAAATGTGGAAGCAATAACAGAGCTTCCACATTTAATGTCTTTTCTCTGCCTTCCTGGTACCTCTACAGACTGAGAATGTGGGCTTTTTATTAGATGGCCTTGCTTGTGGAACTTGTTTTATCAGCTTTTCTTTATTTAGTGTCAGTGTGGGCATCCAGGAAATGAAGGGAGAAAAAACCCTCCTTGACCTGTTTAAATAGCCTCCTTCAGAATGAAAAATTAATCAATCTTTACAGTGCTTATATGTTAGGATCCACAGAGAAAGCCATTCAAAGCTGGCTATCTGCTCTGTTATTGCTTCCACATTTAATGTCCCCTTTCTTTATTGATCTGCTTTTCATGTCAGGTAAACATAGCGGGAGGAAAAGAAGTACAAAGATGTGGAGGAAAAGAAAAGAAGCGAGCTGTAGCTAGACTTTACTAGACGTTTAAAATGCTAGAAGCACAAGTTTTATGTTTTATGTTCCATTATTATTATTATTATTATTATTATTATTATTATTATTATTATTATTATTATTATTATTTATTCTATTTTTTGTTTTAATCTTAACTAGTTTAATATCGTTTTAGGGGGAGGGTGGGTTAGGGAATTGATATGTATTGGTATTTTTAACTCTTCTAAGCCACCCCGATTGCACTGCAGAGGGTTATTATTATTATTATTATTATTATTATTATTATTATTATTATTATTATTAGTTTCCAATTTATGTGAAAGTCGTCAGTGAAATGTTTGACTAAATGATGATTTTAATAAAAGGTTATGCTAAGTTGAGCATTCTTTCATGAAAGAGCAGAGAAATTTGAAAAGGAGGTTTCACAACTATCTGCTTGGCCTTAATATTGCCAATTATGGATTCAATGACATTTGGGAATGTTTCTCAAGGGAGTTGTTGCAATTTCTTCAAATACAGTTTGTTGACTTTCCCCTCCTCTGTTTTCTGCTGTTACTTATGCCATCATCCACAATAGTTCAGGAGAAGATGGGCAGATTTCTGCTTCTGAATTGTTGTCGTTGTGTGCCTCCAAGTCATTTCTGACTTATGGAAACCCTATCATATAGGGTTTTCTTGGCAAGTTTCTTCAGAGGGGGTCTGCCATTACAGTCCTCTGAGGCTGTAAAAGTGTGACTTGCCAGTGGTCACCCAGTAGGTTTACACAACCAAACAGGGATTCGAACCCTAGTCTCCAGAGTCATAGTCCAACACTCAGACCACCATGCCATTATTATTATAACAAACTTAATTTGCAAAATATCTTTCATTCATGTTGAGCCATCTGTCTTCTGCTTTATAGGACCAAGGTACAGGAGACTGTGACTGACAATGGCTGCATCTGCACTGCAGAAATAATGCAGTCTGGCACCACTTTAACTGTCATAGCTTAATGCTATGAAATCCTGGGATTTGTAGTTTTGCCCAGCCTTTTCTGTCAGAGAGCTCTGGTGCTGCAACAAACTCATTTCGCAGAATTATATAGTGCTGAGCCACAACATTTAAAGCTATGTCAAATTGCATTAATTCAGTATGGATGCAGTCAATATTATTGAAGAAACAATCTTAGGAGGAAATAGAAGGGTATTTAAGAGGACTAAGAGAAATAACAGTTTATGGAGATGACCTTGCATTCCCCATCTTTGTTATGACATCCTTATGTCATAAATGGTCACAGCTAAGATTAAGTTGGTGCCACAGTAGATAGAGTGCTACTTTATCTCCAGGCTGTCTCTCATTTAAATGACTGAGCATATTTTCCCACTGTAATAGGATACAGTTGGCAAGATTTAATTTAAATAAATCATTAAAGAAATCTCTCCACATTGGTCACTCTCTGTAAGATATACAGATTTTTATAAAATGCAAATCATCCCTCGGCCTCTTGTTGCAGGGGAATTCTGAGGGCTGGGATCCAGAAGGCAACTTGGTTGATGGATTGCACCAGCAGTTCTAGCCAATCTGTAGTACTTAACAGTTGGGCTGCATCCACACAACAGAAATAATCCAGTTCGACACCACTTTAACTGGCATGGCTCAATGCTACGGAGTTCTGGGTTATGTAGTTTGTTGTGGCACCAGAGCTCTCTGACAGAGAAGCCTAAATGTCTCACAAAAACACAATTCCCAGAAGTTCATAGCAATGAGCCATGACAGTTAAAGTGGCGTCAAACTGGATTATTTCTGCAGTGCAGATGCACCTTCAGGAGCTTGGTTAGCAGGTTTTTTGGATCCTCAGTCAGCTAGTTTTGCTAGATTTAAACACATGGCAAATATTAACCCAACAGAACTTTCTGCTCACAAGCTACCCAATGAGGGAAATATTTGATGCTTACAAGGATGCACATTCAGATTGGCAAGAGGGTTGCACAGTTACTTTGAAGATATATGATCTGCATGTGATAGCTGTACTGAACAATGCTTGCTGCAAGACAGAATGCAGCCCAGTGGAGAGCAGCACAGAGATAAATGGATTCCAATATCAGTTTGACTATCCACTTGTAAGTCAAAAATCTCTAAGGCAGGGACATGGGATATGTGCCTTCCTAGATGGTGTTGGACTGCATCTCCCATCAGCCAATGGTGAAAGATGGTGAGTCTTGCATTCTAATCAAAGCCAGAGGACCACAGCTTCTCCATCTAAGAATATCTACAACATAGGAATATTTTAAATAGTATGTAGTCGACCCTCTGTATCCATGGTTTCTTTATCCATGGATTCAGCCATCCACAGCTTGAACATATTAAAAAAAATCCAAAAAGAAAACTTTGATTTTGCCATTTTATTTTTTCAATGCACTATTTTACTATGGAATTGGATATAATGGGACTTGAGAATCCATGGATTTTGGTATCCATGGGGGATCCTAGAACCAAACCACAGGGGACATGAAGAGCCCACTGTGTGTGTATATATATATATATATATATATATATATATATATATAGAGAGAGAGAGAGAGAGAGAGAGAGAGAGAGAGAGAGAGAGAGAGAGAGAGAGAGAGAGAGAGAGAGAGATGAACATATGGTGTATATATTGTACCTATGGAGCAAGCTACAGTTGGCTTGCCATATCCATGGATTCAATCATCCACAGCTTGAAAATATATTTTTTTAATTATAAATTTCATAAAGCCCACTTTTGATTTGCTATTTTATATAAGTGACACCATTTTACTATGCAATTTTATTTAATGGGAATTGAGCATCCACTGATTTTGGTATCCACGAGGTGTCCTGGAACCAGACCCCAAAAGATACCAAGAGCCCACTATACAATATTCCTAGCACATCCTTAAAAGAAATAATTCCTAGAGTGACGGAAGAGATCTGTTTGTCATAAGAGGGATTTTCCTGATCTATGTCTCTAGACAGAAGGCTGCTGAGAATTTGACGGATTCAATGGAGGCTCTGTTGTGTATCCTACCACCCTGAAAGACTAAGGGTAATAAATACACAAGACAGATCTTTCTCTGTTGCAGCATCTCAATTGTGGACCACCCTCCCTTGGGAAGTTAGGCTGGCTTCATCTCTGTTCAGCAAGAGGCTTGAGAGGCAATAAACAGATACTGTTAATAAATTAATGAATGGACCAAGTATAGTTACTGCAGCAAGTGAAGGCTGCAAAGTCTCCAAGAAGAAATAGACATTCAAACTGTGAAGAATGGGTTAGAATAAGAGAAAGGCACTGATGATATGCAGAGATTTTGTGGGAGTATGTGGAGATCACTTATTTATTTGGCATGTCAGGTATCAATAGTAGCTTACGTATACCATTATCTTTAATTTGTCATTATCTGAAAAAGAGAACAGCTATAAATAGAAGCTCCCTACTCAGCTTTCACTAAATTTCAAGCCCACCATTTCAGTTTGGATAAATTGAAAGGGAGAGTACATTTTTCCCCCTATTAATGAGGCTTAAAGAATATATGAAAAATTTAGTGCAGGCGTATAAATTAACTGCGGGGAAAAACGAACTGTCAGTAGGAAGACTACACTTTTTTTCTGGGTTGAAATGCATTATCTTTCCCTAAATTTTAGCTTTGCCTTTCTTATGGCAGCTTTCCATATTTTCACACCCAACCCATGCTGCTTTTGGATGCATGAGCATCCTATGTACGTTTTTCTGTTAGTACACTTAAAGTGCCATTTTGAAAAGGGGGGGAAAAAGCAGCTTAAGATCTCTTTGTTGATCCTTTTCCCTTAACCAGCATATATAGAATTATTTTCTTGATTAAATAACTTCATTTGTTGAGTGCCATTAGCCTCCATCCCTGCTTCAACAAAACCAGCAGGATCCATAGGAAGGTGAACAGAGCACATGCTTTAGTGGATTAAAGCTCAAATTCATTCCCTTCAAGTAAAAGAGCAAGGAATTACTCTTATATAAAGTACTGGAGGGCCAATGTCAGTCTGAGTAATAAATACTTGGCTAGATGAATCATCTGACTGTATTAGTTAGGAAGGGTGAAATTGACTAAGGATGTATCTGCACTGCTGAAATAAAATAGTTTGATACCACTTTGATTGTTATGGTTTCATCCTGTGGAATCCTGGGCTTTGTAGTTTGGTGAGGTATTCAACCTGGTTTGTCAGACATCTCTAGTGCCTCACCAAACTGCAAATCCCAGGACTTTGTAGGACAGAGTCATGGCAATTAAAGTGGTGTCAAATTGCTTTATTTTTGCAATGTGGATGCAGCCTATGTTAAAAACAAATTTTAAGAATCAAGCTGGAAGCCATAAATTCTACTAGTAGCAAACAAGTCTTTCATAACTATCTTGGTATTAAATGCAGTATGAAAATAGTAAAATGCTTGTTAATAGCCAGGATAATTTATTCAGATTGAGATTGTACAACTTAAATTAGCAGGTGTCACCTGATGGGTTTAGCAAAAATTTAATTCTATCTGTCGCTTTGTTGCTGTTATGTGCCTCCAAATGATTCTGACTAAGGCGAACCAATCATGGGGTTTTCTTGGCAAGATTTGGTCAGAGGAAGTTCGCCATTGCCATTCCTCTGAGGCTGAGAGCATGTGACTTTCCCAAGGTCACCCAGTGGATTTCTTAACTGAATGGAGCGGCATCAACATAGGACAGCCTCTGACCCTCAGTCTGGACTCTGGCCATGATCTTTCATGGTCCTTCTTCCCAATGTGCCGACTCAATTTCTATGTGAGATAGACAATCACCCACTCCAGTTTGTTTTGTTTAATTTGATTCCATGTCTTTTAGTGCTTGATAAAATAGCAGTGCTAATTACATTATACCGTCTTAAATTCTCTGAGGTTCTTTCTTCATGGCCTGCCAAGCAAGCAGATGGCCTCAACTTCAATCAGAAGTAAATGTGGAGTAAGCACTCATATAGATCAAATGAATAGCTATTATTTTGTGGAAAGGCACCCAAGGGAATCAGTGGCAGAGTCAGGAGAAAAGTGTGTCTGTTCCCTCAGTTTCAAATCTGCTGCTTCCTAAAACAGCGATCATTAATAATCAACAAACTACTGTACTATAAAGCGAGTCTCATTGCTAATTATTTTCTAATAATTGCTAATTATTTTCATTCATCAGCAATGAGACTCACATCCTGACACCAGTGTTTTGAGCTAGTTGTTTCCACACACAGCTCCAGGTTCTCTAGTATTTAGCAGAGGGGCTAAATTAAAATTTGTGCTAGTTTGAGGTGACACCATGAATTATTGCACTGGGTAATGCCAAAATTAGTGACACCATTTCCCAGGAAAGGTCCCTATTAGAAACATCTTTAAAGATTACATTTATTCAGGAGATTTTGAGGGCTCATCTCCTCCAAGAATTTCAATGAAAAAGATGCAAATCCCCATCAAAGAGAGTGTTTAGAATTCAGAAAGAAATGCTCTCACGCCTTCCAGAGCTCCTTACATACCATCGGGCACATCTGTTGTATTAATTTTTCGGGTACATCTTCTTAAAGTAAGTAATCCCCCATGCTCACCTTTCGTGGACATGTTGGACTTCTTCCTGGATGGAAGGTTGAAATGTTGGACATATCTGGGTCACCTTGGGCAACTGTAGACCCACATTGAGATAGACTCAACAAGATCAGAGATGACAATACTGAGCCGGAAATGCTAGGGATATGAGTCAATATCAGCTACCATTACAACTTCCTATGCACTGGTGCTGTGGTCTAAGTGTGAGACACTCCTTGAATGTTTGTAGCCTACCTCTCTCTGGAAAGAGTGTCTGTGATGATCCTTGAAGTGCTTGGATCAAAGTCTTTGGCTATTTCTTTAAAATGTGACCTTGAACTATATCAGCATGGCATGATAAAGCTCCTAATTATCACTTAGTACAGTCAGAACTCCATAGCCACAGATTTATTTAATCCACAGATTCAAGCATGGTTTGAAAATATCTTTAAAATATAGAAATCCCAGAGAGCAAACTTTGATTTTGCCATTTTTATAAGGAACACCATCTTATTATGCCATTGTATACAAGGGAACTTGAGCATCCGCAGATTTTGGTATCCACAGGAGGTCCTGGAACCAAGCCCCAGCAGATACCAAAGGCCCACTGTATACAAATATGCAACTATACAAATACTACTATTGCAAAACCAGTGTTATAGCCATGTGCCCATAGAGCTGCTATTCTCTTGGGAGGCATATTTTTCCTGCTAGAGAACTAAGACCTTGGAAATATCATTGAATAGCATTCTGAATTTTAAACCAGGAGTGGAAATTGTGCAGCCATCCAGATTCTGTTGGACTGCAAGTCCCATCATGCCCCCAAATTTGGAAACCACATGTTTCCAACTTGAGTAAACATGCTTAGGATTGCACTTTATATATAGAAACATCCCAGGAAAAATCATTAGTGACTTTTTAAAAAGTCTGGAAATACCCAATCGACTATTTGCAATAAAAAGGAAATGGCTTGATACCTGTAAGATTTGAGAATTGGTAGGCATTACGGTAGTTATCAGAAGAAATGTATGATGCAGTTTTAGAAGGAGAGGTATGATTATATTACATGTTAGATTCGTATTATATTAGACTCATATCTATGCTGAAAGGAATGTCAGAAGCCATTTTAGTATTTAGTCTCTTTAGTCTTTTTTCTTTCCTTTCTGCTTTTTAAAAAAATATTTGTAGTTTTTATTATATCTGGAAAAAAAATCTTAATTTGGAAACATCCTTTGTAGAAGTATAGATCAATAGTTCTCAAACTTTTTACCCTTATGACCCTTTTTACATCTATATATGGATATCATACTCCCACTTGTTTGAAATAGTATATGAATAAAAATATTTAGTTTGCATATTTTCTACTACATGTTCATGTATATTCATATTTTAACATTTTATAAGGAAATAGCAGGTATAGAGCAAACTCTGGGAAAGCTTGGCTTGCTTGGGTCTTCTGCAGTAGTGGGAATGTTCATATAAGGCTGCATCCACACCACAGAAATAATCAAGTTTGACATCACTTTAACTGCCATGGCTCAATGCCATGAAATCCTAGGATTTGTAGTTTATTCTCTGCCAGAGAAGGCTAAATGTCTCATGAAATTACAATTCCTCAAATTCCATAGCACTGAGGCAGCACAATTAAAGTCATGTCGAACTGGATTATTTCTGTAGTGCAGATGCAGCCTAAGAAAGGTTGTTTCACTTCACCATTATTATGAGCTTGATGCCCAGAATCTGGAAATGCTTCTAGTATGTTTTTAGTTTCTGGACAGGAACCATAAGAGGACAACAGGAAAATGTATATCCACAGCAATGTAGGAAATCCATGTTAATAGTTTTACTTGGACCGGAGCTATTTATGATGAGGGCAACAAATGCTGCTGGCATTAAAACATGTTCAAAGTATTGACTATGTATTGGTATGTAACTTTTTTTTGGCATCTACAGACCTTTGCTAAGAACCAAATTCTGCTGCTTCCAAAATGTCATTCCATATGCATATATCATTGTGATTGTCTCTTTTGTGTTTCTGTGTTTTCTGATCTGCATTGAATCGCTGATTGCGTTTGTCCCGCCAATCGCTAAATTAGAAAAGAATAAGCTAAAGTTCTATTTGAAGGAATGGTTTCATACTCAGAGCTGCGATATGAGATTATCAAGCCTTTCATGCTTAAGGGGAGAGTCTCTGTTGAAAAGGAAGCATATCAACTTAAATTAGAGAATTAACAGAAATTGTGAAAATGGCAGTCATTTAACAGCCGGGCTGTGGATGGAATTTAAAATGCATAAATAGATAATAAAGAAAATGAGAAAGGCCAACTTAAAGTGCAAGAATGGTTCAGTGTGAATGGTAGCCCCATTTTAAATGGATTTGCACTGTTATTAAACCTTTTATTTAGTAGGTCTGCCCCAAGATTCATGATCGAGAACCAGCATGGTGTAATGGTTTGAGTGGACTGGGACACTGGGAGACCAGGATTTGAATCCCTGCTGCGCCCTGAAAAATCTACTGGGTAGCTTTGGGCAAGTTATACTCTCTCAGCCTCAGGGGAAGGCAAACCCTCTCTAAACAAATCTTGCCAAGAAAACCCTAGGATAGGGTCACCATAAGTTGGAAATGAATTGAAGGCACACAACAAGTTGTGCTTTTCATCAAATAACTGAGCAGATGCTCATTTGTGCAGCACATGTATTGGCTCTGTGAAACATAGGCTTTCATTCCTAGCATGTCTAGTTAAAATATTAAAGTAAGGTTTAGGTATTTCAGCAAACCTCCTATTGATGACGCACCAATCATTTTGTGGCATGATCTATAGAAATGACTAACCATTCATTACTGGAGGAGGCATAGTTTGCAAGTGTTAACAGGTAGGTTTACCAGCCAACTGGCTGCGTTGTTATCTGTGTTTTTGCCAATATAGAGATACTGTTGTGCACATTGCTATTGTCAGCTTTGTTTGCAACCTAAGTACATATGGGCATGTTTAAATGAAAGGCCTTAGAAACAGTGAAACTGAGCCTGTGTGAAATATTGCCTACTGGAAATGAGCAGCCACAAGATGTGGGGAGCACACATGGCCTCAGAAAAGCCGCCTACAACTGTTCTGGGAAATCAGCTGTTGAGAGTCAGGCTGATGTCTGGCCACCACAGGAAGCGGCTGTTTTGGGCAATTCATCACAAAGGCTAACACAAAACAGGTCTGTGGGGGCTTGCCGTTTCTTTTCAATAATGAATGCAGTCATTTTCCATGCCACATGGATCGCCTGACTGTTAGAGCAGTTCAAAAACGACAATGAAATGTTCTCTAGTCTCTCCCCAGTTGGTTTATGGCTCCAGCACAAAGATGGTAGCAGTGTGAATGCACACCATTGGGATTAGTCAGGAACATGAATTGCTCCATGAATGGTGTGTGTGTGTGGTGTGTGTCTTCAAGTCATTTCTGACTTATGGCAACCCTAAGGCCTATCATGGGGTTTTCATGGCAAAATTTGTTCCAAGGAGGTTTGCCATTGCCTTCCCCTGCGGCTGAGAGCATGTGACTTGCTAAAGGTCACAAAGTAGGTTTCATGGCTACACTGGGATTCGAACCCTGGTCTCCAGAACTGTAGTCTAAAGCTCAAACCACTACACCGTGCTTGCTCTAGTGAATGACTATGACATATTTGGGATTCAAATCAAGTGTGGCTGTCTTATGGATAGTTTCATTGACACTTCTGTCTCCAGCTGTGGGATTATGGGCATAAGACCCCTGTGAAAATGGAAACACCACAAATACCCCCCCCCCACACACACACTGTTTTATTAACCTGAAAGGACACCTCTCTAGGGATCTTGGATGACATGGAAGTTGACCATCTACCCATGCTGGAGAACCTACAAATGCCAGAGAAGTGTTTTCTCTAGGAATCTCTAGGTTCTCCCCCATGCCTCTCTGGTCAACTGTCCTGCTAGAATTTTTAAGCAGCCCCAGTATTAGGAGGATGGTGAAGAAGAGCTGGAGAAACACAAACTTTGGGTTGCAGAATTATGTTTGTAGTAAACAACACAATAAATACAGTAAAGCTTGAGTGGGGAAAGAGCAAGATTCAACTCTGGCTGATCCAATGGTTGCCATGTGTGTCTGCTTACAACAGGCATGTTGTGCATGTGTGAACAGAAAAAGAAAGGAAAGAAGAGAGCTAGTAACTCTCACCAGCTCCCTCCCAGAAGGTTAAAAAAAAAAGCATAGATCAATAAGTTTGGCCAGCAGAATGGAAATTATTAGAAAAGTGGAGACTGGGGAAAGAAAACATCTCTGGATGCTTTTTAGAAGCAGCCTTGAAATGGTTTTTAGAGAAATTGAAATGTTTTTGTTTATTTATCCAAGACTTACTCAACCTGGTTGTATCATTTTACTGGTGCTTATCTTTAGGTTTGAGTTTGCTTTTCTTTTTTGTGGTATGGGAACCTATTCCTGTTCTTTCTGCCCCTGGTACCCAATGCTTCTGTTAAAGAAGTAATGAATGCCCAGGAAGACATCAACCGAGGTATACCTGTATTCCTTTTAGATCTAGCGTGTGTAGCCTCCTAGCTCCATGGATTTCTTGAAGTTTTGTATCTAGACCCATTCTAGTTTGGCTCCAGGCCTGACTATGGGATGGAGACAACTTTGGTTGTTATGATAAAGTGTCTACACTAGGAACTAGGCATAAGAAGTGTGCATTGATGGTTCTCCTGGACCTTTCAGAAGCTTCTGATGCCATTGACCATGGCATCATTCTGGTCTGCCTCTCTAGTGTGGGACTTCATGACACTTTTGTGCAGTGGTTACATCCCCTCTTAAAGAGTTGAACTCAGAAGATGGTCCTTGTCCATGTATTTAGTTTAGTTCTTAAATCATGTGTTCAATGGGTGTTTTCAATATGGTCCACTGTTTTTTTAATCTTTTACATTATGGCTTTAAAATGTGAGTCTCCTTCTTTGGAGGTTTATAAACAGAGGCTGGATGGCCATCAGTCAAGGGAAAGGTGGGATATAAATTAAACTAAATGAAGGAACAAAATGTAATTTGTATGGAACTGGGTCGCTAGTTATTTAGCCTGAAAAAGATTACTACCAATATTTTGTATAGTACCTACCTATCAAGTGTGATTTTTGTATAGAAGTGTTGATCGTTTGCATACTAAGTTTCAAAAAATATATTTATTTAATAGCATCATTCAGTAGAGGATGTCTGCTTTTAAAAAGGAGTGGCAGTGTTTAGTCTTTCTTAATTGGTGGCTGTTAACTAATGGATATGCTAAAATGTGTGCAATGCTCAAAATTTTGCCTCTAACAAGTTTTAAAACCTGCTTTAAAAAATCAAGTACCTATTCCCACTCATCTGGTATATAAAGTATGAAATCCGCCTGGACTGTTTGTTTAATCTTACCATATAAACTCTTCCTGTATCGCTTGTAAATCATGGTAGCAATAATAAGATTAATTTCATGATCAAATTATTCTTTTTTTTTTCTGTCTTGAAGATTATGCCAGTTGCATAGGAAGATAAAATGTTTTAATTGTCACACCCTGTAGAGCTGTTGAATCATACCTCATTTATAATTGTTTCTTCCATATTTAATATACAAGCCAAGCAGGAGATAGAGATAAAGACACATGCAGATGAAAAGTGTGTTGAAAACTATGCTTCATCTTCATAACTAGCAACAAGATGTGGATGAACTCAGAATCCAACGACACATTTTAGGGTTTTCTTCTAAACCAGAACCAGCATTATGTTGTGGTTTGAGTGTTGGACTACAGTTTTGGAGACCAGGGTTGGATTCCCGGCTTGGCCATGAAACCCACTGGGTGATCTTGGGCAAGTCACGCTTTCTCAGCCTCAGGCAAAGGCAATGGAAAACCTCCTTGGAACAAATCCTGCCAAGAAAACCCCATGATAGGTTTGCCTTAGGACTGCCATAAGTTGGAAATGATTTGAAGCACACAACAACAACAATCCAAACCATTAACATTATTGCCCTGAATATCGGCGTAAACTGGTTATCTTCTGATTGGCACTGAAAGGCACTTTTCTAAGCAGGTTTTTGTACAAAAGCTGGTTTGTATGTACATTTTTACAGATACAGATAGTAATACTTTGATTTTAGTGACATATGTGCATTGTTGGTTATTAAATTGTGCCTTCAAACCCTTCTGCAATTGAAATGCTCTTTAAAATGAGCAGCAAAAGCAGAAGACAAATCTGTGGACTGAAATCCTTTAAAAAGCACAAAAGCACCATGTGACACAAAACTATTTTACAAGTATATAGTGACTATATTCTGGCTACCCTGTGGGAAAAGGAAAGGCTTTATAGCTGGCATTTTCTCTTCTGTCTTCCCCCAGGGGTCTCTTTAGCAGCCACTGGGCTCACATTGCTCCCTATAAACTAAAATTATGTCCATATATAAAAAAAGGTGAACTTTGGAAGGAATAAGGGGAAAGATACTTGCTTTAAGGTAACACAAGCCCACTCTGTCATCTCAAAAAGACATCTGTCTAGCATCTCCTGTTCTTCATACAGAATAGCATGTGGTCAAAGTTTGGAGATATTATTTTCTTGGACTAAAACTTCCAGTATACCCTACTAACATAGTCAGTGGTCATGCTGGCTGGGAACTCTGGGACTCATAATCCAAAAAAGTAATTTCTCTAAAGGGTAGTTTAACATAAGCGTATTATGCAAATTGCTGTGGATTTTCTCACATTTGCATTGATCTTAATTGTCTTCACTTTCCTGGACAAATTTGCATCTGTTTGCATCTATTTATCCTCTCTCTGCTGAAAACACACAGCCATGCAAAGTGAACAAAAAGCCACACGTTCGATAAAGCACATCCTTGAGGATACTATTGTGGATGCTCTGATAAAAACCACAAACCCTTTCCCAGCAGAATTTGTGGATTTTTCACACACTTCCTGCAAGAAGCCCAAATTCCTTCCAATCGCACATGGCTGGATCACATTCTATTTGAATTATATGAGCAGTATATCAATTGTGTAGACAAACCTTAAGCTCTACATGTGGCTCACCTCTGGGTAGCTTTCCCTTATCTCTTATCACTGCAGGTTGGCATTATGGCATCTGATGGAAGCAGAAGGCTTTAGTTGCAAAGAGAGAGAGAGGTTTGCATATGCCTGGGGGCTGAACACGTAGCCCATTTTCTGTGGCTTGTTCCACCAACAATTGAATTTTGACCCTGTTGCACTTAATTTTTTACCCATAACACTTCCAAAATGAAATCAATAATTTGGGTTGAACAGAATGGTTGGGCAGAGAAAAAGCTTTGTAGTAAAAATATCATTAAGTTCAGTTAGCTCCATCTAGAGATACTCATACACAGGTACACTCATCCCTCCGCATTTGCGGCTTTGACTTTTGCAGGTTTGATTATTCACGAATTTTATTAATATGTTCTCTCTAGGAATCTCTAGGTCCTCCAGCGCAACTCTATGGTCAACTTTAACCAAAGTCACACTGAAGGACCTAGAGATTCCTAGAGAGAACATTCCGCTAGGCATTTGTAGCTCCTCCAATGCAATTCTATGGTCAATGCCTGGCAGATGTTGACCACAGAGTTTCACTGGAGGACCTAGTGATTCCTAGAGAGGTGTTCTCTCAGGTAAAAAACATAGTGCTTTTTTTTTATTTGTGGTTCTTCCACATTCAGGGGGTCCTGTGCCCCTAAGCCCGGTGTATGTGGAGGGACAAGTGTATATTATTAAACAGCGTTCCTGCCTCTGCAGGAGTTTTGAACAGTCAGTAATCATTTAACTGGATCCTTGGGATAACATCCATCCCTTTGTGTCCTTTGAAGCCTTTTGTGAAGCAGTGGCTGTTTTCCTTGAGTGACAACCAACCCCGGTGTCTGTGGCACTAATTTCATACATCAAGATAATTATCCTCTCAGTAATGTCTTCCTACACAAACCCCTTTCCTCCACCTCCTCTGACAGTAAGGGCTGGTTTCCATGGAGCCATCCCATCCCTACCTTAGGAAATTTCTCCCTCTAACTTCTCCCTATAGGCAGAATTTAGGAGGTTTCCATGGCAACAACTGCAGAAGAACAGATTGAGATGTCTTAAGCACGTGAGGATTGCTCGGTGGAAGCCCTGTGATTTTCGGGAGATGCCTTGGCAATGCTTCCTCTCTGGGCTAGTTCTGGAATATGTCCAATATGGGTTGACTGGGAAATTCTGCCTGATTGACAAAGAAGCCGCACCAAAGCTACAAAAGCATCAGTTCTGTGAAATGTGCAACATCAGGTTTAATTGGTGGTCTCCAATTTTCTGAGTGGGTTTTCTTTGGGATACATACCTTGTGTAGAGAAGTTGTTCTTTGGAATAAAACTTTGGGGCAGAGAAGCTGTGATCCTGACCCTTGCCTCTCTGTCTGCAGAATATGTGATCTTTTAACTCTTGTTCCCATGTTTGTGAATATTTTATCTATCCTTGTGACATTTGATAAATGGTTTGCAAACCTAGAGTGAATTATATTTCCTGTGCTTTTCAGGCCAAGTGTTTTTTCTTCCTTCAGAATCCAAGACTACCCACAAAATTACCATTAGATAATTTCATGAAAAAGAAGGCAGGGCTCAGGTACTTTTAGGAGTTAT